AAGTCTATTAAAATCTAATTAAATACATTTTTTATAACTAAAAACCCCAATATAAAACTGGAATTTTGCGTTGAAATAAATCATGAGAAAACTGCAGACAAAGTGCCAACATTGCAAGTAAATTATTTCTGTCTCTGAAGAAGCTGCAACAATGCAGCCCCATTAATATGCAAAAACAATGTTTGACATTTTATCAAGGTTAATAAACTCTGTGCGGTTGCTTCCTTAAAACTTCCAAATTCCTACAAATTTTTAATTTTCAAGCGAAAAGTCGTTGAGTTTCCGATTCCGCAAGTTTCTATTTACCGTTTTGTGATATTTGAGCGACTGATAATGCGACTTTTGCAACAAAACGCGACAATTTCAAAATATCCGACGTTTGCTGTCAAGTAGTACCACAGCCTTTTTTACATAAAGCCGATTATTAATCAGGATTGAATATTTTGCCCTGTTGAAGTGCACGGTGTGGTGTTTGAAAGTTATTTTGAAGTTTACATCACGGATTTAACGATTTTGTGCCCAGTTTGGATGCAGAAATGAATGGAAAAGGATTTTTTTGTTTGTCGAAAAGGACTTCCAGAGTAGGTACGTCTTTTAAGCTTGTAACATTCTCGTCCTGAATCCCAATTCTCAACCAAAGTTCTCAGAATGTTTTTATCAGTTTTAACGCGATTTAATGATGTTTTATTCAATATTTATGTGAAACTTTTTAACGATTTCTTCTCTATAGTATAAAAAATTTACATTTTTTTGCCCATGGATTCTTCATCAAATCGCTGAAATTCCTAAATTTTAAAATGAAGTTTTGTTTATTGACGAGGCTAGTTTTGGAGGATAGTTTATACGAAATTTCCATAATCATGCATTGAGTAAAATCCACATGGTATCTTCATTTAATCGGTCCATTTTTCCTTTCGCAACGACTAACATGTTATGCCTGATCACTTGGACAAAGTATATCCAAATTTTTTTTTTACAAACTTCTTGTTGGGTATTTTGCCTCAAAAATGTTTGTCTTAAAAAAAGACAGAATTTCCTCACGTCTTCTATTACAGATTGATAAATAATGCTCCTATTTCGCAATAAGAACGAATTATTTATCAAAAAGTAATCAAGAACTATTACCTAGAGAGTATCCTGCGACACACTTAGGCTCAAGCTGTAAGAGAAAATTCCAATTAATAAAGAAATTAATTTGAAAAATTACCTTGACGTTTCGATAGCTATTTTCTGCTATCGTTATCAAAAGAACGTAAATGAACCTAAAAAAGAGTATGTTAATAAATTTTGTAACAATAGTAGGATAATACAGTATATGAAAATTCGCTCTGATAATTCGTCTGTGCAAATTGTCAAAAGTCATTGTCATTCGAAAGTCACATAACTGACAATTTGCACAGACGAATTATCAGAGCGAATTTTCATATACTGTATTATCCTACTATTGTTACACAATTTATTAACATA